AGGGAGGGAGGGAGGGAGGGAGGGAAGGAAGGAAGGAAGGAAGGAAGGAAGGAAGGAAAGAAAGAAAAGAAAGAAAAGAAAGAAAAGAAAGAAAAGAAAGAAAAGAAAGAAAAGAAAGAAAAGAAAGAAAAGAAAGAAAGAAAGGGAAAAAATGTAAGATTAAGAGTCTGGGAAATGTGATTCCAGGCCTGCTTTGCCACTTCATTGGCTGTGATGCCTGGAGCTTAGTAATCAACTTCATTTGACTCTGTTTTTTCACCTGGGAAACTAAGAAGCAAAATCAAGTGATTAACTTTTTAAATACTATGACTCGCACTTCTTACTGAATGCCTAGATTTTACAAATAATCACATGTCCTTTGGCAGTTTAGAACACAGAACAGCCTTGTCTCTTTTTGCATACCTAGTTAAATGACAAATTTACTATCTTGCAATGAATACTCATCAGGCTATTTTCAACAGAGCTTCTTGGCTGGACTCTTCTTGAATATATAGTCAGCCTGAAAAGTATGGCTGGAAACCACTGTTCAAACAAAACAGATGACAACATTTGTTTTTTACACCTCTTAAAAGTAGATTAGCTATAGATCAGAGCATGCCACTGCCTAAAACAACGTCTGATATATATTTGCTTTCAGTACATATTTGTTGAAATGCAAGAACACTTGTGTTTACTCCCTCGGTAACTGTCAGGGCTCGGGGTCTGGTGGGAGCATGGAGGGGCAGCAGGCCAGCTCTCAGCGCCCCCGGGAGTCTATGTCTTCTGGGCTCAGACTTGCTTCCTCAGCTGGCGCTGTGTTCCTCCCAGAGGTCCATCATTGGCACGACCAAAGAGTTCCCTTCTAGTAAGTACCATTAAGGAGTCCAAGGTCCAGACAGAAGAGAACGAGGTCTGGTATTTCCAAAGTATTTCATTCTATGAAAATTTGTTTCAGAAAAAGACCATAATACCATTTGAGCTAAGTTAATAAGAAAGCTACATTTTTGTCACTGGTTCTATTGTTGCCTCAAAACAATAGTTACAAAACAGAAAATAAAAATAATTACTGGGAAAACTCAGAAGCCGACATACTACTCTCCTCATCTCCTAATCCAGATGTAATAAAGTGATGTGATTTAGACTAAAATCAGCCAAAAGCCAGTCAAACACAAATGCCACAGAACCAGAATTCTATCTTAAAATAAAAGCTCTTGGAAAAAAAGAAGGTAGTAATCATCTTTTACTAAGTGACAACTGAAGGTACTTAAGTCTTTGATTAGGAAAGGAAAATAGACCTCCCCAAGTAAAGTTAGCCACAATTTATGATAACCTGAGGAAAAAAACAGATTTGGGTTTTGTCAATTCCATTCGAAGGCAGAGAAAAGCTTATAAGCTCACAATCACCCCCTGAACCCTTTACAAAGAGCCACATAGTCACATCAAGATGTCAAACATACCCTGAACTGGAATTCCATCCTGGCTTGGTGGGATAAGAAGTTTTGACTCAGCCCTTCGAGGAGAGCTTCGATTTCTCCATCCTCTGACCAGAGCCCCCACCATGGTTGCTGGCAGCATGCTCCCCAGGTTGCCGTGGTCCTGCCTTGGTGGGGAGGTGGGGGCCCGGTCAGGCCGTCACTGCAGGAGAATCATGTCCTCCTTGGAGGTGCTACACCCAAGACTGACAGGTTTGGGCAGTTCCTCCCGCCCTCATCTCCCGCCCACATTCTCATCCCTCTTGCATTGTCAGACCTCCTCGGGAGGCCCAGGGAAAGAAAGCTTGGGAGGTAAGACAAGGAAAAACAGACAACAGCAAAAATTAAAATGAAGAATAGGAGTAAAGTGACCCAGTAGAAGAGAATGGCCAATATTATAGAAGCACCAGTTCCTTTACATGACGGATAATGTCTGATTCTTCATTTTTTACTTAAAGTCTAATTTTTCAACATGGAAAAATGACCATGTGTGGGAGGGCTGAGGCGGGGCACATACCTGCGTACCTATTTCTCTTTTCTTGACTATTTTCCTTGCTAAATTGGAAGAGCTTTCAGGCAATTTTTTTTCCAAAGCAAACCATCTTCTACATAAACACAATTTGTTTACAATATAAGAAATGTATTTCTAATGTTTTGAGTGTTCACAGAATTACACTGGCACTTGAGAATGAGGAAAGTTGGTCAAGGGATTTAGTAAAATTTCCAATCAAATAAACTCTCAAAGACTTTTAAAAAATGAATCAATTCCAATGAGCTAATTAGCTCTCCTGTGGAGCCCAGGTAGCGTTGTCTCATCCTGAGCAGCTGGTACCTGAGCTGCACTCATATGGGACACTGCTCACATGTGCCCCCTACTGGTCAGGTGCGAGGTGCACACTGGGCAGAGACCAATGGCTGCATTAAAGCAAGGGGAGGAGCAAGTAGCTCTAGAAAGTTCTAGAATCCCTTGGCCATCTCTGTATGCTATATTCATTCAGCCAAGGTGGTAGAAATTGAGATTGAATTAGCTGTAGGCAGCCTAAGAGGTTTTGTTATTATGACTTGTATGGGTTACAGAAATGGAATGATCCATGCCTGACCTCACTCTTTTCTCCCCTTCCCTGGTTACATCTCATTTAATTTAATAAGATCAAGATAGTTCCTTCAGGAGGTGGGCAAATTCCCCAAATGACCTAAAACTGATCACATTCAAATAAAACTACAATGTACTAAAGAAAGAGTATTTTGAGGATACACACCTTACATATTCATTTTCTTGACATTTACCTTATTATTTTGACCTTTCCAAAATTCAGAAAACCTTTGGTATCACTATGGTCAGAGGGAAAGTCAAAGTGCAGGATGGAATTTTAAAAGGGTAGAAGAGTAGGAAGATATTAGCTCTATTCTCTCTGCACCCCAACCTCAGAGCAGGATCCTTGCAGCACCATCTCAGAGGGGCAGCCCTTGATGAGGTACCTCCTTGTGGGGTACCTCTCCTTTCTCACTGGAGTGGGGTTCCCCTTTTCCACAGGCAGCTCCTTCTGCCACAGAGGGCTGAGCTAGGCTCTGATGGGTTTGGGGAGAGCTGCTCAGAGGCAAAGCTACCTACTCTCTAGGGGAAAGGGCAAAGTGGCCTTTAATATTTCTGTTCCTATCACACCCAGAGTCACCAAGACAGGGCTGAAGCTGTCTTCTGCTGGGGCCATGCCCTGTGGGAGTGGGATGGCATCAGGGAAGAGAGCAGGGAGCCCAGTGCTCAAGTGTAGGGTTTGGTCTTGTCTTAGAAGAGGGGGTTGAGCCAGGCACAGTGGCTCACACCTGTAATCTCAGCTCTTTGGGAGGCTGAGGCAGGGGAATCAAGAGGTCAGGAGTTGGAGACCAGCCTGACCAACATGGTGAAACCCCATCTCTACTAAAAATACAAAAATTAGCCAGACGTGGTGGCACATGCCTGTAATCCCAGCTACTCAGGAGACCGAGGCTAGAGAATTGCTTGAACCCAGGAGGTGGAAGTTGCAGTGAGCTGAGATTGTGCCACTGGGTGACAGAGGGAAGCTCCATCTAAAAATCTGACTCAAAAAAAAAAAAAAAAAAAAGAAGAGGGGGTTAAGGAGAGATCTGGAGGAACGGCCCAATGTCACACATTGGAGAGAGGATCAGGAGGCAGGAACGCAGCTGTGGAATCACCTAGAACCATCTCTCGGGAACTTCGTGTTCTATTGTAGGAGGCTGTACGGGCTGAGAATTAGGGGTGGGAGGGAGTTGAAGAGAGCCTCTATCAAGACAAGCAGAAGCCAACTTTGACCCCATCCTTAGGGTGAGGTGGCAGAGAAAATGCAGCAATGCTGAAAGTACACATGTGCTTCCTTCATCGGACCCGCTGTGGGTGAACCATGCCTTCCCCGGAAATGCAAAGGGAAGCAGCTCAACAGTGAGCCCATGAACTCATTTCCCCTAAACCTGTCCTATTGTAAGATACACCCCACCCCCATGACAAGGGACACACTGAGAAAGGAAACCTATCTAAAGGACTTGGTATTAAGGCTATTAAAAATCTACTAACGCCCTCCACATGGAGCTCTTCTTGGAGGCCTGATCATTACTGCTGCCACAGATCAGAAATCCCCATCCCCCACGGGCCAATGAGAAGTCCAAAAGGAGACACAGGGCTGCAGCCAGAACCATTTCGGAAAGCAGAGCAAACTGCCCAAATTCAGACGCTGAGACCCCTGCATAGCTGCTGCCATCAGCCACCAGACAGGATATGGAGGCAGGTGAGAAAGTAGGGGGATGGAGCTAGTTGAAATGTCAAAAAAGTTCCCGATCCCACACCTGATTTCCTACGTAGGGGTACCTCCCGTGTGCATTCACAGTACTTCCTACACTCTGTTGAGATGATTTACTTGTTATAGTTTGTTTCACCCAACTATCTATCCCCAAGCCTCAGGAGGCACTTGCTGGAATGCAGATTCCCAGGGCTTGCTCTGAAATGGCTGTTCTACGAGGTCTAGGATAGTGCCAGGGAGCCTGCACTTTCTAAAGCTTTCTACATTTGCTTACATCATCAGCCTGGATTTGATCCAAGGATAGTATGAAGATGCCAATTTACTAGGCTGAGGGCTTCTTGAAGTCATGGACTACAGCCTTCTTTATGCCCAGTATAGCGTATGTCCCCAGCACATAGATTGTTGAGTGAAGAGAGCCCCGGAGGGCAGGGACATCTTCCCCTGGTCTCCACCCAAGGAGGAGGCTGCCTGATACTTTTATCCTTCCATGAAACCCGCCGTTTGCCACGGCCCCTGCTGCCACCCTGGCTGCAGGTGCCATACTGTAGGGGATCGCCTTGTCTTACCTCTGCCCCAGGCCCCCTCAATATTCCCATGTTTCACTCGCCTGTGATGCTTTGGCCCAGAATACGATTTGTCCAGGCAGCAGTTTCCTGCCTCTTCTGCCCCACCAAGAATGGCTCCATCTTTCCTTCAGACGTCCTATGCCCTGGATACTAGCGCAGAGGGGTCCGTGCATCAACTCAGGGTTCAAGCCGAACAACATCATTGAACACTCTGTCATCCTTAGTTTGCCAGTTATAGTAGGTGGACGCACAGTGTCCAAGGTTTTCCCCAACAGGAAGCTGAGCGATGACCGTGACTGCTGTGGGAACGTGGTCAGGAAGAGGAAGAAGGGTAAACGTCCTGCCTGGGAGGTCAGTGCCACCCTTCCATACACACACACGTGCTTCCTTCACCGGACCCGCTGCGGGTGACCCACACCTTCCCCCGAGATGTAAAGGGAAGCAGCTCAACAGCCAGCCCATGAAGTCATTTCCCTCCCAAACCCGTCTTATCATAATATACACCCCTCTCCTCTCATGAAAAAGGACACACTGAGAAAGAACACACCGCTAGAAAACCAGAATCATCCTGAAGGCTGTTTAAAGGCCATTTTGGTTCACAATGAACTTTCGTTCATGGGTGTTTTTTGCTAATGTCCTTTTGCGATGAGTTGACAACTATCCTCTAAATTTCATAAATACTGTCCCCATGTGCCCTCTACAGAGGATGATGGCTAAATCAGGCCATGTGTTTCTCTGGAGTCTCTTAGGTCCTAATGTGGTTCTGAGCACACAGAGCACATGCCAATTGAAGAAATGCATGTCAAGCTGTGATGATGTGGTTGTCAACTGTTAAGATGCGAACGAAGCCATCAGAATTAAGTATGACATCCAAGTCTGTAGCAAATGCTTGACCCCCTACTATAACATCAGGGAGGAGGTCCTGGGGTGAGGGTGGGGCTGTGTGTGGCACGTTTCATCCTCATTTCTGATGTTCTCTCCATCTGGGTGGTGCTTCAGGAGCTCCTGGGGTTTTTTTTTGAGACAGAGTCTCGCTCTGTCGCCAGGCTGGAGTGCTATGGTACATCTCAGCTCACTGCAACCTGTGACTCCCGGGTTCAAGTGATTCTCCTGCCTCAGCCTCCTGAGTAGCTGGGATTACAGGCGCCCACCACCATGCCCAGCTAATTTTTGTTGTATTTTTAGTAGAGACAGGGTTTCACCATGTTGGCCAGGATGGTTTCGATCTCCTGACCTTGTGATCCACCCGCCTCTGCCTCCCAAAGTGCTGGGATTACAGGAGTGGGCCACCACGCCCGGCCTCCTGGTAAATCCCCATATGCCTCTCTTGGGGGCAGGGCTGAGGAATTAGATTGGCATGCGTAGGAAGGGAAAACCAGGCAGGCATGATCTGGCTACACTCTTGCTTTTGAGGCAGACAGCTGCCCGCCGGTGGCGCCCACTTTGCTTCCCCGTTGCATGTGCAAGGTCTGGCTCCCGTGTGGGAAGCGCTACTCAGGCCAGCCTGCTGCCTAGGAAGGTTCTGATTCTGAGTTTGCTATTAGGACGCCTGTGTGCCCAGACATAAGACACAATCTCCGATGGCAGCTTTATCAGCAAGAAAGATGAGTTTAGTCTCCCTCTGCCTTCCTGCTTGGTTTCAAATTCTTAAACTGAGCAGAACCTGGCCGGGTTTGAGGGTCTTCACTGCCCTTTCCCCAAGCCTCCACGTCTGGTGGGTTGGCTCAGGGACATGGCACTTGAGGAACAAAATAACCCCTGGAGACGGTGGCTTCTGACAGATGCGGCGCTGGGTGTGGGCCATCAGTTTCTCATGTGGCTGTTCGCAGCACAGCGTTCTGTGCCACAGTTCGCTTTTGCAGTGTTGCAGGTGGCCTTTCTTGTGGCCTGGTGAGCAGCTTTAGTGCACTTTTCACTTTGGCAGCTGACTTAGCCGCAGACAACTTTGCCACAGGTGAGTGGCTCTGTCTGGGGCGTCGCTGGGCCTGCAAGCACCAGGCCCGGACATGCAGGCTCCGGCTCCCCCACGCACAGGGGCTGCACGGCCTCAGCAAGGCGGTCTTAGCCTAACCGTGGGGGGGGGGCTAGGGAGCAGGCATCATGGTTGCCCCTCACCAGATGTACTGAGGCAGAGTCAACTCTAGGAGAAGGAGAATCTGCGTTTATAGGCTTTTTAGCATCAGGGGTAGAACCATATTGCAAGGCAGCATGCTTTGTGCACACGGCATAGTGGGGTTTAGCTTTAAAGTATCATTGCCTGGTCCCTTCAGGCATACTTTGTCAGCTGCTGCAAATTCTGTACTCAAGGCCAGAGGGAAATTGAGGAGTCGCAAAGTCTGGGTTCAGGAAGCTCATGCACAGGTTTGAGAGTCTCCCTAGACTACAGGGCCTCAAGTTGGCTCTGGATCTCTGGGTCCTCTCAGACGCCACTGGGACTCTGCTCCAGGCTGCAGTTAAGGAAGGACAGCTGTGCAAAGCTAACTACTCT